ATGAGAAATAAATCATTGGTTTTAAATCAGATAAAGATGTGATTGTCGAAGTGAGATTTCATTGCTTTCAAACTATTACAAAGATAAAAATGTCATAATTCATTCATCATCCCTTATAAAGGGTTCAAATTAGAGATGAACCGATACATCGATTTCATCTCTGATTCAAACGATATGCAATAGTTACATGTCGAAGAAATCCTAATTGATTCATATTGTCGAGAGATCGAACTTGTTGATATTAATCTACGATCTTTCTACGTTTTATGACTAATTACAACTCTCTCGGACAGCCTGAATGAGAATGAATGATTTGAAACATTTCTGAAATTTGTCTTAACATGATTTGGAGGTGCAGTCATCAGCGTCTCAAATCAAGTTTTTTCTTTTCTTTTCATTCGTTGCAATAATATAGTAACATGTGACGTCATCTGTACAGATCTCAGAAATTTGATATTTTTTCAAATATGTTCAAGTTTTTTACTCATAAATCATTAAAAGCCTAATATTAAGATAACGTACGAAATTTTCTCATTTGACTTAATATAGAAGCAAATTAGTAGCGCTAGTTCCTGATTGGCTTAAGCACGATATTATACTGACTGACTGTCGCACATGATTGAGTATGTCTGTTTGTTTTATTTTACTGTTTTTGCTTAAATTCGTCTTACAGTCAACATGTCGTCTAATGGTAATTCTGATATGAATAAAATCTTAGTGACAAAAGACAAAGATGAGGATGATGGCAAATATCTCATTCTTCTCGTTTATCTTCTTGAGGAGAATGGTTGTTGTGGAGGTGGTTATCATGAAAAGTCCTTGTCAATTCATGGTGGTGTTTCTGGTCAATCTTTTAATGAGATGTTGGAACAAGCTTATGAATCATTAGAGGTAGCTATGAAAGAAGAAGATCGTATTCCATTTGATATCAACGATATCAAGAAATCGGTGAAGTTTGACTGTGTGAAATGTAGCACCACCGACGAAATGGATATGGTTTATAAACTCAACAAGCAAGGAAAGACATTTAAAGAGATTAAAGAACAGATTAAACAGTAAGATTGTTTTATTTCTCTCAGAAAAAATTTAATGATAACAGCTGTATACAGAATTATTCCGAGACCTTGAAAAAATCTGGAAAGTTTTCAATTTTTGGTGAATTTATATCTAAATTGGAGTTTACTAGTACAATGAACAAATGAAATAGCTTCTGTGGTTCAATTTTGAGATTCTTTTGAGTAAAACACATCAGAAATATAATCATATGTAATTCTTGGAAAGAAATAAGTTTATCGTAAATGCCAACATTAATAATCTTTCATAACATTTACATAAACCACCTATATAATTCGAATAATGACATATTTTCCCTATTTTTATTCTGAAAAAGTCTAAAGTATTTTCCATGAAATATTAAAAAATGGAAAAAAATTTTAAGTCCAGATTGATGTTTACAAAAAAAAGACAGTTCTTTTCATCCGACAAGACATCGAAATGTATACTTGGTGAAAAGCACTTTACGGTATTAAAAGAAATTTAGTTCTCGGCATAGATTTTAACATTTCAGGTACAAAACAATTGATAGTCATTAGTTAATATCATCATTCAATCAGAAGGTATATAATTCTATTTGATCTTTAATTAAAAGTTCTTCGTAGACTTCAACGAGTACATTTACATGAATCTTCTAGGGTGTGGGTGTGGGATTCGAATACATCTCCATCCACACCAACACTCACATCCACACCCACACCCTAAGTGAAAAAAAAATCAACTCACTCACATAAATAAGAAATATGAATTGTTCTATTCTTACCAGGCAACCACTGGATCAGAAAAAAAGTACGTGTATGTCAGATGTGTCTGTCTTCTATCACTACAAATTGACAATCTATAAGAAGAAAAGATACATATCTCTTCACTAAAAAGCTTGCGCTTGTTATGGGAATTAGTGGTGGCACCACATGTGTGCGTGTTGGAACTCCACTTCTCGCTCCTCCGATGGTAATTCCTGTCGCCCCCACTAATAATTATAAAACTACCAAAAATAGTGTCAGAAGTGTTGCGCAGACACCTTTTTTTATAACGCGTGGCAAACTCGTCTATGGTAATTATTTCGATTTCAGCAATGCAGTCTTTATCGATTGGCTTATTGCTTATAGAGAGTTACTCAACATCCCGAAGCGTGATCATTTTCGTAAGAAGTAACTTTTAAATTCAATACAAGTCTAATTATATCTTTTGTATATACTTTAATCAAATCAGCCCGAAAGTAGGTCACGACAATTATGCTACAATGTTTTTCATGATGAATGTTTGCATCCGTATGTTGACCTAAACCAGTCGTGTGGCGTTTACCTATAGGAAAGTTGGTTTTCTCAAATAACAATCACTGGATTTCATCTATACTGGAATTCAGAACCGTTTTTTTCTAGTCACTCTTTATTAAAATGTGTACTGCAAACAATATATACGATAAATGGCATCAGTTAAATTGAAACGAAGTTCTTGTATTGGAATAAATTAGAAAGAACAAAAGGAAGGATCATGTCCCTTGTTAAAATAAATAGCTCATCCAAGTAAATTTTCACAGAAAAACTAAAACTAATTAGCGATGAAAAAAGAATTGATTAAACAACTTTTCGGTCATAATCGCTCAAAATTTCAATTTTTTTAGGTAAAATGGGCTTTTTTTCATGAAAATAACTTTTAAACCACTTTTCTGCGAAAATCTGATGAAATTGGACAGAAAAACGCACAAAAAAAGTGGGAAAGTAGAAAAAATCTGCTAAAACACGGCTTTTTGTGCGTTTTTTGAACCAGCCGGAAAAAATGCACCAAAATCGGCTAAAAGTCACTATTTTTGTTCAAAAAACGTCAAAAATCGATATGTCTCTCTGCTTGGGGTGTGGTCTCGTGAATATATCATCGTGTTCTTGGTAATGATGAAAAAGCATTGTTCTATCTTCAAGAAGCAATGTACAGGTGATATTCATTACTTACTAAAGCTGATTGTTATCTAGCTATGACTTATTATCAATTAAGTCTCATACATTACGATCGTGCTGAATACGAAATTGCACTTGATTGTGTTCAAGAAGATTTGAATATACAATTGGTCATATTACCATGCTATCATTCCGAACTGGCATTATCACGACAACTTCTTCGTCGCCTTCAGCAACATCAATGAATGTTTAGAATTATTGTTCTACTATAGAGATTAGAGGTCATATTCATCTATCGTTTGAATAAAATATTCCCATCTTTGAGGATGAGTTTGTGGTTGTGGAGATGAATACAGGTCTGAATCTTCACATTCACAGCCACTCTTCGAGAGAAAGAAATCAAACAAATGTTTTGTTATATCAAGGTGTTGATGTAGTCAGTGACAATACAGAACTGCATCATCATTGCACTAGGATGTGCGTGAGATATAGATATTTTCTGTTTATCCACATGCAAACCCTCACTAGCATGTACATATTCCGATCTCACAGATAATTTTTCAGTCTATTGATTTTTTCTTTCTCGATGAATACATAATATTTTTATTGAAAATAATATAAGATAATTGTTAGTTCATAAGTACAGCCTCAATGATCGATTCTGGTGCCTGAATCGGATACACCTTTTTCAATTTGAACCCAGCTTTTTCAAGAAGCTTCTCGAATTCCTCTTGGGTTCTCTCACGAGCTCCTTCACAAAGAAACCCCATCACTATATCGAGTGCGTGTGATTGCCAATTACTCAGGGCTCCATCAGGCAAAATGATAAATTCTGCAATGAACACATTCACGGGATGTCGTTCAATACGACTCAAACTCGCCTCTCGAATAGACGATAAAATAGCCACGACTTTTTCGTCATCATAATTGTGTAAAATATTTTTGAGTATATATGCATCTGCAGACGGAATCGTTGAAGAATCGAACATGTTACCGATGACAAATTTATATTTATCGTCTGGAATCATGCGTGATTTGAACTCTTCACTATTGGTCGTTTGATTAATGACATGTGGCAAATCGAGTACGATTCCCTGTTCAATAGATGGATAATGTTCTAGGATTTGAGCTAGATATGCTCCAGAACCACCACCAATATCAATCAACGTTGTGAACCGATCGAAATCAACATTTTCCACTAAACTTTTACCACTGGAAATTGATACTGCTGCCATAGCACCGCTAAATATATCGGATAGGTGTTTTTGATTAGGTTGAGAGAGAAATTGGTATAAATTCAAACCATTTGTAACGCGAACTATTCCTGAACCTGTACCTTGATTACGCACGATGTCTGGTAACTGATTAGCGGCACTAGTAACTAATGGTCCCAGGGCGTAAAGAAGGAAATCGCGAGCATGTGATGGATGACCGGATGTGAGCATTCGTCCAGATTGGGTCAGCACAAAATGTTTGTCATCGTTAACTTTTTCAACGATGCCAGCATCAGCACATGAGCGTAATATACGATAAAGCATATCTGCATTCCAGTTTAGTGAATTATCACCTATGATCTCTTGAACTGTCATACCTTGATCGGATTTTGCATTGACAAGTCGATCAGCCACATTGAGTTCCCCAAATGTATATACGGCATGTTCAATTAAGCGATGATAGCCGAATGAAAAATATTTCGACAAGCCATCAAGAGTAAGTGGTGATATGCGTTTGAATGCCATTCTATCCGTCAGTATGATAATGTGAAAGACTATGGAGTTTTTCTGTATTCAAACAAGACATAAATGAGAAAGAAATATGCTTAGTGTTTTGGTTATTGAGGTAGATAAAACATGATGCAAAAATAGTAGAAAATGGGTTGATGCAGGAGCATTTTAGTCAGTGGTTGATCTAATGATAAGCATCCATCAACCTACATACGCTTAAGATATAGATAAGATATTCAGATGTAATTTAACATAACTACTTTTAGTTCGAAAACAAAGGACACGTAAATTCTGAGTTTTAATATAATGAGAAACTACGGAAGAGTTAAGATCAATAAGCGAAGAGATGACCTTGTGAATTAGTGAGAATTCAGTTCGCACATAGTTTCCGGTCGTAATAGAAACTTACTCAGTGCAAAATATGTACATATAGAGAAGTCAAGAAGACGGATCATTTCGATGATAATCATCAATGTTGTAAATAAAATGTTCATTTCTCTGTTTTTGAATAATATATTTTTTCTTGTCTATGTGCTAATTTTTTATACATACAAAAATATACGCATTTTAAAACATCTAATACAACGTCAGTACACTATCTCTAGAAATTAGAAACCTAAACTATTCAAATGCATGATAGTGTAATGCATATCAGATATCACCACCAAAAAATTACAAGACATCGAAGAAGATGATGAACAACAACAAACTTCATTTGTACTTTCAACATCTTGCACTCTTAATACAACAGCTAATTTTATGTAGTCAGTAAAATCTAATTACATCAAGGATAAATTCACTGAAAGTATGTGTCTAAAATATCGTTCTCGGACTATTGAAGACAAGCTGAATGATAGCAATCAATTTTAAAACTTCAAAAGTAGTGTTCAAGTTAGTCGAAAACATTATTGTGACAGAAAGCACTTTCGGAATTGATTATAAAAAGAGCAACAGCTACTACTCATAAGAAACAAAAAAATCCGAAATGTTTAAAAGATACTACTACAAATTACACTTATTTGTCTCATTCGCACTGAAACTATGGAGCTTTGAGTAAATTAAAAAAAATTGATACAAAATATTTATCAATATGATTTTGCCAAGTGACATCTTACAGACTTATTTATATATCAGAAACACCCAGTTATGTATTTCATATTTCTTCAACAAAATATAAATTAAACATCATTCTATGAAGCAATTTTCTTATTTTTATATAATAGTTAATTCAAATCTCACAAATATTTTAAAAATGGACATCGTAATCACTTCATACTAAATCTTATTTTAAGAGTCCGAAATTCTCTTGCATAATTTTAATTGATCATCGTTCAGCTTTGTGAGATGTTTCTTTTTTCAATTAAAAACTTAATTATATTTCTCTCATCTTAATAAAAATCTATATGGTTTGCTTTTCAGACTAAATATAATTCCATTACAGAAAAACGTCAAAATAAAGAGAAAAAGGCGACAAATAAAATTGAACCATGATTTATGGTACTATTCTATGCTCATCCAGAGAGCGTGGGCTTCTAATCGACGATAGCGGTTTTGTATCATTCGCAAAAAAAACGCAAACAAATAAAGTTGTAATGTATATGTGTGACGTATGCATTGAGACTGACTACAATGGTAAATGAGTGTAAGATGGAGATGACAACGTGAATGAAGAAGACTGATAACTTACAAATATTTATGAACCTATCATTCAAAAGAAAAGTTGATGATGGGGATCGATTTCATGTTTGTCTCTAGTGTTTCTAATCTTCAAAAAATATCGACACTATATGTGTATTATTACATAAACTTATTTCTAGTTTTAAAAGTATTCTAATAAATTACTTACTACAACCAAAAAGAACTCAATGAACGATGGAAATATATATGTCGACAAACTGTTGATTAGACTTAGTGTTGTATATATAACATTATTTTCTTATTGTGTCTAATGATACTTGTTTTTTTTGTCTTTGTAAGAAGGTAACTTTATTCATTTGATAGTGTTTGTTATTTTGCGTAGTTTTCTTTTTTTTTTCTTTTAAATTACATAGTTGATCACGTATAGGTATACTGAAGATGGACAGGAAAAAAATGCATACTACGAAACATGTGCATGAATTGTTATGCTTCAGTGACTTGTACACAGTGAGTATGACACATCAAATAACAAAAAAAAATCCTTGAAAATATATCGCAAAGCAGCAATCAGTAAGAAAAATAGTGTTCATTTCTTTTTTTTCCAAGTTGTAATATGTTTTCTTCATGCATAAGCCTCAAAACAAAAAATCTCATCAGCTATTCTCATATACAATTGATATAGTGCTTTTACAGTCTGACACATTCGTCTGTATATATTTCGAATTTTTCACTCATGAAAAAGTTGTAGTTTAACGATAATAGAGCATCAAAAGGATTTAGTACTTGATAACGACAGTATATAATTTACTGTATACAATAAACACAGGCTTGACTAAAAATTATAACTTTAATGTATTCGGGAAAATATATCTGTGCAAAGCACATGAATTAAATATAATTTAATAGCAGATATTATGATATAAGCTATTATAGCGTGAATCAGTTATATATGATATATTCTTTTTTTCTTTCTTTCTTTCTTTCTTTTCTGTTGTGCTATAGATATATGCTTATATATATATGTGCAGTTCTTTTCTTCTCTTCTCTTATTTTCCTTTCTTCATATTCAGGTATTTTCTACAACGTTATCTTTTTGATGTTCCTAAGATATTTTCCCTCTTGTTTATGTTTTTTTCCACTAGTTCGTTGCTATATATTAGCGACTGTTTTTGGAAAAATCAAGAAGAAAAAACAGATTAATACAATCGATCAGTTAGATTGAAATCACCCGTTAATATAAGCATCTAAAATAATTCTCAACACTGTCAGTAAAAGAATGATATAGGTATTCATGACTGATATTTTCGGAGTCTTTATTGACAATGATAGATCATAAGCGAAGTCTTGATGAGGATGTACGATTGTGCATGACTGTTATGATCGACTCTTCTATCTTCCAACGGCATTCTAAAACTCGCATTCATGTTTTTAATTTATATCCATTTGGTGCTGAAGTCGTTAGTTTGTCTTTATGTTCGTCTATTGCATTTGTGAAAATTACTTCTGCTGAAAAACAGAACGAAAGATACTTCACTGTTATCAACACTAACACATTAATTGAAAATACATAGATTCAGATGTTAAAATTTGATGAGATTTCAACAAAAAAATATTATAGCATCTTTGAAAATGAATATTCTTACGGTTTATATTGTTTGATGAGAACAATGTGTTAACTATTCATGCTTTCCTTTCAAGAGGCAGTCATGTTAAAAAATTGAATAGAAAATATTCAATAACTGAGGATATCTAATATGGATGGGTGTTCTTGCGCATGTCGACGTGCGTTGGGTTCAACTGAAAAATGATGCCTATAACTCTATCTTTACTGATTCACACTTAAACTTGCAGGAATCACACTCAAAGTTGTTTCATATAGAAGGCATCCTAGTTACACCATATGTGTCAGTTGTATTTCTATTGTATTGTTCGTTTGAGAAACTAAATTTATTATAAAACTAGATGCTCTTAATTTGAGAGTTACGAAGCTTTTTCTTGCAGGTGCCTGTGATTGTTTATCACATTGTCTCAAATTTCTAGCTCACAAGGTTAACGAACCCATATCCTAGTGCTATCCGATCAACATTAAGGATGCTGTTCTATTGGTTTCTAGAGGTTTTTCAGTTTTCAATGGATAATACTTGATACAAATCGAAAGTGATTTCCTAGATATAGAAATTTATCTCTTTCAAGTCTTTCTTTATCTTCTATGAGATCATCATTATGAATTGCTTCACATTATTCTTTGTTACTAACGAATCCAACATCGAATAATATTATCCTGTCGAGATATTTTTCCACTAAAAGAAATCGATGACAGTTGTTCTTGCAACGATTGACAGAGTTCATCTCGTTTTGATTTCGAACGTCCATACCATTTGTCATTTTCACATCGAATATTCAATGCTCGAAGATTAGGCATGATCTTGATAAGAGCAAGTATGCATGTTCGATCTGTTACAAAAACGTTCAAAACCTTGCAATGAATATTTGACATAATATTACTCAATGTCATGCATTGCTCTCTATTCAAAGATTGTCCATAGCATAGTAATTCCAATTGATATACGGATAAATGTCGACTTTTAAAAAGCTGCATTAGATAATTTGATAAAGTCCTCCAATCAATGCATATTGAAGATAGACGTGGTGCTCGATCGAGTAAATCTTTTAGTTGATGTTGACAATTATCATCATAAGCATTTGATAAAATATCGAGCGAAGCGAAATAATTCACTCTTGGAACCATAGATCCAAAGTGAAGACTGATTGGAGATTCTATTGAGAGATGTTGAATATTGAAAAATTCGATATGAGACAATAATGGCATGTTGAATAGATGATTAGGTCTATACATTGGATTATGCACACAATCATATGATCGTTTATCATTCTCATGTGGAGATGTTGATTTCGAAAGAATGGGTACACAAAAGTCGAAAGTGTCGAAAGCATACGGCAATGTATCAAATAAACATAACAATAAAGCAAAAAATAATAATAAGTAAAGCAATAATAGGAGGTTTAAAATAAATCAACAATTGATTTATCTATTTTTGAATCTTTTTCTAATGAAATTTTTTTTTTATTTTAATTTTAATTAGAATAAAAAATACCATGAAAATGAATAGTAATGTTTAGTTGAATTTTCGGTCATAGAGAGATCATCATCAGAACAAAATTGTAATGTGAATAAATGTGATGTTGTTGATTTATTTCGAACTTCCTATTGTTGCTTTAATTATTATTTTTTTGTTTTATTCTTATATACAATCCATGTTATATTTATCAAATATATAAACATAACAATGTCATTGAAAAACACACCACATTTAATATTAATCATTATAGTTTTCTAAACTATTGGATAACAAAAT